TATGTACCATGTTTTTTTTATTTTATTACAAGATTTTGTTATTAATCTAATTTAATACTGCTTTTAAGCCTATTTTATAACATCATTCAGGATTTTGCAGTACATAATATAGAATGCTGTTGTTTTTGGATATTAACTGTTCCTGCTGTAGATATGACTCCTCCTACATTTGCAAGATATTTTTAATTCTTGCGTAATCCAATCACTCTTTGTTTTGCCTACATTATAATTTTTATTAGAAAATTAGCTTCATAAATATTTAGAAAAATATACAAAAATGAGTTAAACTCTTTTTAATATTATTGTTTTTTTAAAAGATAAGTTGCCTACTACTACAATATTATATTAATACGAACTATTACATTATACTATATTATTCATAAGCTACTGGATATTATGGTCCGATAGGTAATTTATTATTGGGGAAGTAGATGATGAACTGAACCTTATATTTGCATAATGCTTCCCTCCTAACTGAAAAATAGCTGATATGTACTCCATTGTACTCGTGATTTTTTCCCAGTACCTGAAAAATGCAGAATGTGTGCTCAGTTTTGACAGATTACATAAGAATCTTCAGTGATGATGCCAAATAATTCCATGGATGTTTTGAATTAACCTTGATGGAGAATATTGAATTTAGAATGAAATAGTTACCCCCACATTATTAGGTGTTTTCTTTAATCCACGGCCAGAATACATGTTGTGATGTAGTGACAGGGGACCCGCATAATATGGCCTTTTCCCTGATTTATTTTTAAGCAGATTTGAAACTAAAGGCTACTGAAATATACCTATTAACTTCGCTATACCTATTAATATGTCCATGTGTAAGAACTTGGGAACAAACAGCTAATTGGATTTTCAAGATGTTTTATTTTGGCATTTTTTCTATTTGAAGAGACATTTCAGTTTGGTTCAGTGTCATGATGGCAACATTTGGTACTTTAAATTAACGCCTACATGTGCTTTTGCTTGAGAAAGTGACTTTGTGGTAGTGGTGGACAATCACCAGCCAGCTACGCAACCTCAATGAGCAAATGTAAGTTGTCATTCTTCATATTGCCATCATCAGTCATCCAAACAGAGGCCAGGCATCCTACTCAAGCTAAGGTCACTTGCCCCAAACACCTCTGATGTCACTCGCATCGTTCACAAAGGCCAAATTGCTGTGAGTGTGTCAGAATGGTTGCATTTGGCACACTTGTCATCTTTTCTTCTTCTTCTTCTTCTTCTTCTTCTTCTTCTTCTTCTTCTTCTTCTTCTTCTTCTTCTCCCCAAGCCGACTTGTTCAGTGTTTATGAAATTCTGTTCTCGGGATAAAGAGATGGATGTGTTACAACAGGATGATAAGCATGTGATGCAAGTTCACTCATATCCAACTAAAATCATAATTAATTTAGTTGGATGTGAGTGAATTTGAGGTTAAATTGTTCTAGATTCTCCTTTCACTCTTACTTGTACTATAGATTGAACCCAGTATATGGTTAACTATATTGCTTCAAAGATATTTATCAGAAGGTTCACTATAATGCATAATATTGTATGTCACCATTATAACTACATCTGTGTATCCTTGCTTTTCGATGGTTTAGATACCAACAAATAGATTGGTTAACCTCTCCTTTTTCTCCACCAATCAGGCTAAGCAATGTGAGTAGGTTTTTCTAACAACAGATCTGGTTGGGTGAAGCAAACTTGAACTAGGACATCATGTTATTTAATGTGAATATGTAACTCTTATGGTTTTCTTCATGCTGCCAGTCGAGAGTTTGTTTGTGTTGTATAAAATTACATTCTTGACAAGTGAATTAACATATTTTTCTCAGGTAGCCAAGAAAGAAATGAAATAGGAATTATAATGCTATCCACCTTAGAGAATACGTCTGTTCTGGAAAGAACATACATTTCGCAATGAAATATTTATTGAGCTTGCTTATATCTTCTTTTCAGTCTCCTAATAAGATTTGTCCTAATATTTTTTTCAATTTGTTTGCTAGTTTCCTGCGAAAGAACAGATATTATTACAAGATGGTGAGCGTCCATATACCTGTGAAATGTGTCATAAATCATTCACTCGTCGAATTATACTGAAGAAACATCAACGCATTCACAGTGGGGACCATCCATATTCCTGTAATGTGTGTAACAAAGCATTTAAACAAAAGTGTACTCTGAAGACACATCAGCGTACGCACAGTGGAGATAGGCCATATTCGTGTAATGTGTGTAACAAAGCATTTAAACAAAAGAGTAATCTGAAGACACATCAGCGTACGCACAGTGGAGATAGGCCATATTCGTGTAATGTGTGTAACAAAGCATTTAAACAAAAGTGTACTCTGAAGAGACATAAGCGTACGCACAGTGGAGATAGGCCATATTCGTGTAATGTGTGTAACAAAGCATTTAAACAAAAGAGAACTCTGAAGAGACATCAGCATACGCACAGTGGAGGTAGGCCATATACCTGTGATGTTTGTAGTAAGTCTTTCAGGTTAAGAGCTGATTTGAAGATACATCACCGTGCACATAGTGGACACCGTCCATATTCCTGTAATGTGTGTAACAAAGCATTCATTTATAAGAGTAGTCTGAAGAGACATCAGCGTACGCACAGTGGAGATAGGCCATATTCCTGTGATTTGTGTAATACGTCATTTAGTCGGAAGTGTAATCTCAAGATACATCTACGCATCCACAGTGCGGAGCGGCCATAATTCTGTGATATGTGTAAAAAATCATTCGTTCAGAAGCGTGCTTTGAAGACACATCAACTTACACATGGTAGACAGCAGCCACATTAATGTGATGTATATCATAAATGATTTTCTTTAATGACTGCTCTGTTTTTCAGTGACATTAACTCTACTCATTAATAGAATAATCGGATGAGTCAATACATGTGAGGGGTGCGCATATTCTTGTGATATATGCAAGTCTTCCTATTATCAGAAGAATCTGCATCATGAATAAGACTTTTTCTTTTGTCAGAATGCAAATGAATACCTACTCCTGCACATTTTTTTAGTACAGGAATATTGTCCAGGATAGGAATAGTAATTGTGCATTTGAGGCAAAGGGCCGTCTCATTCTTGTGTTATACAATGATGAGCATCTCATGACGTATGACGTGATGTTTCTCGGCGACTAAATGCAATAAAATCTTCTCGCATCTCGTACTGTGTTATCTGTATGACAAGCATTCTTCAAACAAGCAAAACGTTGACAGCGAGGTCTTTTTGGTTTAACAATTTCTTTCAGTTTATTACTTCCAAAACATTTTATAACTGTTTCATTGGTATGGGGAATGTTATATAATTTTAAGATGTGTTAAGCATTTGTCATTTTCAGTTGCATATTTTACTGATAGTTCAAAATAATCATTCTAAGCTTCAGGTTACTTGCAGGTGAAACAGGAGTGTAAGTTGTAATGGCTTTGTTATAAATAGCCCACCTTCGGAATGCGGTACTTGGAAATGTCACGAGCAGATCTAAGTGACTGACATACGTGAATTTAGATGTAGAAATTTTTTTGTGTTTTGTGAAATATATTCCTATATAGTTGCAGAAATATTTATTGTTCTTTCCACGTATATTACATTTGCTGCTAATCTAATCACTGTCCAGGAAACTTCAGATGATACATGCTAGGAATGTGTGAAGTACATAAGCGTGTTTTGTTTCCAACAAGTGTCTTGGTTGAGTTTGAGGGCTTGAAGCTAATCACTCATCCCCATGTAGTGCCAATAGTAAAAATGTATGGAACTATGTCCTCATACCTTAGTCACCAATAAAGTACATGGATGACTTCACCTTCTTTACCTTTTTCAATACATTGAGCCACAGGTTGGGCTTAAAAGATACAGGTAGATTCTCACATTTCTTAGGAAAACTCAGGCAAGTGACGAATGCATGTAAGGAAAGTATTAAGTATTACAGTGTAGGTTTGGGAATTCATTCCTGCATCGCAATCTTCACAGATCGATGATTGTGATGCCTTTAAGGACTATGTATCCAAATTGAATAAAAATTTTCTTGGATATTATCCATCGTCTAGTAAATATAAAACGTAAAACGACGTTTCGGAGAATGGACTCTATCTCCGTCTTCAGGTTCCTACACAGTTGGGCCCACTAGATAGAGCTAATCCCTATCTCCGGACCAAAAGACGGAGATAGAGTCCAATCTCGTTTTACGTTTTATATTTACTAGACGATGGATAATATCCAAGAAAATTTTTATTCAATTGACTCTTCACCATCGTCAAGAAGTTTTAGATTTGATATACTATGTATGCTAGTTATGCTGTGCCCTGGTGTTGATCAACACTGCTTCAGGCTCATTCAGACTCTGCAGACAAAGCAAGAAGTAATTTTATTTTGTGGGTGTATTACCCCTACAGGAAAAAAAATCAAGATTTTATAATGCTGTTTCTCCTGTGGGGTGGTTAGCAGTGACTTTGAAGTAAGCGTGTCACTTCCCTGTGTTACATTCAGAATTACAAAGCAGTTCTGCAGAAATGTGTTCAGAATCCCTGTAAAAATTTCATGTAATTCTTAAAAATGTCTCTTTCCACAACACTTGAACATAATTGTTCAGTTGGCAACATGTTTATTGTTTATAGAATGAATGTTGTATTTGCATGGCAGCCTGCCAGAGAGAACCCAGCTGTCATAGGCCTTTATAAAAGTTTTCCTTCCTGACAGGGATCTGTGGTGTGGCAATGCAGATCAGTTATGCAAGAAGCACTGACTACTGTAATGAATGGTAAGTAATGTAAAGTTGTCCCACCTCAAGCGATGTAGGCGCTTGGAGTAAAGATGGTATAAATCCAACTAATTCTTAACCTTATAGGCTGTGAAGCCCTTCATTGTGTAGTTTTCTCTGATACATTCTGCTCCCATTTAGGCCCAAATAATTACCTCAAAAAACTGTTCTAAAAGTCCCTCAGTCCATGTCCTCAAAGTGAACAAAACCAAGTTTCAAACCCATTGAGTACAGGTGGCAAAATTACAAGTACATTTTTAAGGTTCAGAGACGGTTGAGCTCTTTGTGTCCGACGCAACTGAGTATGTTCCTTTAACCCTTTCATAAACAGTGGAAGGAAGTAGATCCAGATTCCGAAAGGTAGTGTTCTTTATAAAAACAGATGATCAACATACTCCTGGGATTTAGTGATCAGCTTGTCGAAATTAAACTTTTGTGTACTTTGACTTTGTTCTTATATTATAAAGTAGAGTTGAGTAGAGTAGAGTTTATTTACATTCCATAGATCCTTCTTAGGACTCAACCAAAGGATGTAGAACATGTCATTTCATACAATATACATACACTTCAGAACTTTCAACACAAGTACATGAACGTATTTCACATATCAATGTACATAAATTTCAGCTTCTGCAATACAAGTATGAAAAATAATTTTACAAATTAATATACATAAACCTCAGAATTTTAAATATAAATACAAAACTTGCTTTACATATACGTAGATTATGGATATAAAGCTTAAACATTTTCAGCAGAGATGAAATCATCTACAGAATAGAAGGAGTGAGTAAAGAGGTAATCTTTCAATGTATAGAAAAGAATTGAATTTCGAATCCATACCACAACTGAGTAATAATTCCTAAAAATAAATGTAAACAATAGTGGTGATGCTTTCTTGTGTACTTATTTTTGTGTTAATATTGTAGATAACCGTAAAACACTCATATCTATGCAATTTATATTTTTATTAAAACAAGCATTGTATTATTACTGTCTCATGTTCAACATCCTCGGCTTCCTTCTTTCAATGGAAATAAATTCTAATCTGTTCTGTTTGGGTGCTTCGATCTGGTGGCTGAAATGGGATTTAGTTCTTGTAAATGTACGTTGTAAAGAGTGCTTGAGGTTATGCGTGTTTTCGAGTTTGTTTTGTGTTAAATATGTCTTCTTAAATGTGCTCTTGGCAAGATTTGTAATTAAGTGAGAAATATTGTGGTCTTGTGTTGGATACTCTGTACAGGTGGTGGGAAATTAATTTCCAATGTCGGATTGTAAAGTACATGTGTATAAGGCGTGTTGTTTTTTTCATGAATAATTTTCCGCATCTCATTGTAACAGGTGTACAATGAAAGTTTTTGTTCTAGGGTTTAACATGTAGTCTGAGGTAGGAAGAAAAGGGGCTGGGAGTCTGTCCGGTCCTTGCCCCATAACCTACTCCGTCATGTGGAAAATTTTATCGTATACAGTTTCAGAAGCATAAAATACAGAACTGTTCGGAGAATGACATATTTCATTACATAAATCAGTGTTACGTCCAATCATCAGTCAGGCCACTCTCGTATTAGCTTGCTAGTGAACAGGCATGTTTTATTGCAGGAAGAAAGTGTCAGTCTGCTGTCAGCGGTGGTCATTTGCTGTACCATTTCTGTTGTATATGATCTTATTTGGTGTGACCTGGATGTTGTCCTTTCCACTTAAATCTTTGCCACAACAAATTGGACCAATTTATTCTCAGACTGAAATTAAAAAATTGACCAATCATGTAGATGCTGTTCGTTTAGAAAGAGATGGAGACGTGAACATAAACTTTCACAAAGATGTAATCATTGGAGACGTGAAAGAAGGGCCACAGTATGAAGATCCGAAGACACTGCTGGAGAATATTTTTAAGAAGTATGTGTTATTGGTAATAGTTTCAGTGTCCTTAGCAGTAATGTTGTTCTTTGGAAAAGTGAGAGATCTGTTGCATCTCTGTCATGAATGATGTCAGACTGTAATGATCAGTGGAGTGAGGTGAGATGGACTACAGACAATGAAGATAGAGCAATAGGAAGGAATGTAATTAATTTAGAAGTAATATATATATAGAATTGCAATAAATTTAATCAGTCTCATTAATTATGTTATCATAGCAGACTCTTCCTCAATTGACCCATCTTCAGCGATACAATCCAATCATAGCCATGAAACACACTTAAGAACCAAGCATTAACACTACTCAACAAATCATTTCAGAATCTATAATCACTGAAGTTCTGGTACAATTTAAAATTATTTGTAGGATTTGAGGTTTCCAAAGGGGTGAGTCTGAAGATGGCTGTCTTCTGGGTTGTTGTGTCATGTAATATGGTAGAAGTTTGCCAATGTTTCAGAGGTCCTTGCTGCCTCATCACCCTTGATGATGGAGGCAGCAAGGATATCTAAAACATAGACAAACTTCTACCACACTACACAGTGCAACAACCCTGAAGACAGCCATCTTTAAAATTATTTTCAATGATCACATCATCATGGTTAAATGTTTGTTCATAAAAGTTGGTTATGGTTATTAAGAGCACATAATGGCTGTGACAGGAATGTGTACAGTGGAATGTAAAGTACACCAAAAAAAGAGCCTTATATAGTTGCATGATCATTATTATTCCAGTGTAGATAACTGTATTGTAATAATATACAAACATCACACGAATGTTGATGATTTAAAAGCGAATTGCTGTTTATTCATTGGTAATACTTGGATTTTATTAATTTATTTGAAATATAACTTCCATATGACATGTATTTTTTCAAATTCAGTTCATGTGTTTAAGCAGTACTTATTCTCAACACGGAGTTTTCCTCCGGGGGCTTCCCCGGTTTCTCCGTGGCATCCCAACAATTACTCCATTCACACACAGAAGAAGGCAATGGCAAACCACTTCTGGATCATCTGCCAAGAACGTATATGAACAGGTCCCAGTCCGAGAAAAGGATGGAAGGATCCTGTTCATATGGACCTGTCGTCAGACAGAACACTAAATAATAATAAGATGAGGTGGTCTAGGCAACACGGAGTTTTCCTCCGGGGGCTTCCCCGGTTTCTCTGTGGCATCCCAACAATTACTCCATTTACACACAGAAGAAGGCAATGGCAAACCCCTTCTGGATCATCTGCCAAGAACGTATATGAACAGGTCCCAGTCCGAGAAAAGGATGGAAGGATCCTGTTCATATGGACCTGTCGTCAGACAGAACACTAAATAAAAAAATAAATACACTAAATTAAGGTTAAGATTTTTATGTGCACTATGAGAATCATACAGTAAACTTGTGTTTCAAAAATGATTATTTGCCTGAAATGAACAAGATATTCATGTCTTAACAAACCCACTCATCTGCTCATTCATGATTTGTTAACATTTTACTGATTTGTTTGGATGTAGGAATAGATCAGAGCAAAATACATTTTGTCCACTGGTTTATTCATCATTGAGTGAAGATTTGTCATTTTGTTTTTCTTTGATTTTTTTTTAAACTTGGAAAATGCCAAGTCCTGCCAGTGTTAGTGACTCTCTTATTCACTTTACAGGTAATTTGTGATCAGTTATTTGTGGAGAATACTTTCTCATAATAATTTTGCTTGTGAAGGAAATGTGTGGTGAACAAAATTGTTGTCTGATCAATAAACTGAGTCAGCATTTATTGAAGAATATATGATAATAGTAAGGAGGAGAGATTTTTGAAGAGTAGATTGAACTCTGTTAATCTGAATCTAACCATCTGTGTTAGCAACTGCAGTAAAAATTCAACCAGAAAGCCAGTATTAATTCCTGTTAAAAACTGGTTGCTATGATTGTTGTGATTTTCTTCAGTCTTGTCAGGAACCTACAGTGTGTAGTATATTAAATACATCATGATTTCTTCCTTTACATTACTTATGATTTATCTTTCATAATTAGGGACAGATTGAACCCTGAAAGACTGAGATTCGAGGTTCTCACAGCAGTGAATATGTCAATGTTGGTATTCTGGGTTATATTACAATTTTCACTTGTAGGTAGATATCTATAGCCACAGTGGTCTAGCGGTTAGAACGCTGGCCTTGTAATCCTGGGGTCTCGGGTTCGATTCCCGGCGGTGCCCGAATTTATAACTTGTGTTGGGCAAGGCCGTGGTCAAGGCAACACGGAGTTTTCCTCCGGGGACTTCCCCGGTTTCTCCGTGGCATCCCAACAATTACTCCATTCATACACAGAAGAAGGCAATGGCAAACCACTTCTGGATCATCTGCCAAGAACGTATATGAACAGGTCCCAGTCCGAGAAGAGAAAAGGATGGAAGGATCCTGTTCATATGGACCTGTCGTCAGACAGAACACTAAATAAATAAATAATAGGTAGATATCTACATTTTTGTCAAACATGTTATCTCAGTTTTCAGTGTCAAAGATGGAAACGCTGTGTTTATTAAAACATTTTGTATCTACACACAAGTCCGCACAGTGTTATGGCCCAGAAGACCCACATCGACATCTCTGTAAGATTCTCTCTTTCAGGAGGACTAAATTTGTGTATTCTGTATAGTAAGGTTCAGAATTGTGATTTCTTCACAGCATATTGTGAAGAATACAACATTTCTGGCTGCATTGACACTTTAACATTTTTCTAAATGCTGTCCAATAAGCCGGGATAGCTCAGTCAGTATAGTGACTAGCTACGGGCTGGACGACCGGGGTTCGATCCCCGACGGGGGCAGAGGATTTTTCCTCTAGCCTCTGGGGCCCACCCAGCCTCCTCTACAATGGGTACCGGGGTCCTTTCCCGGGGGTAAAGCCGGCCGGGGCGTGATGCTGACCACTCACCCCCATCTAGTGCCGAGGTCAAGGAAGAGAGGAGCTATACCTCCACTCCCCCCAAGCGCCTACATGGCGTATAGTGGGACAAACTTTACTTTACTTTTGCTGTCCAATAAGCCATTAGGATACCAAATACATTCTCTGCAACTCCTCTGGCTCACAACTTTTGCTCTGTTTCCAATGACATTATTCTGCTTTGTTGACATTTATCTGTGGTTTAAGAGGAAATCCGCCATCGCCAACAATAATGTGAGGCTGAGGTTCTCCATTTTTGCTTAAATCTGTTGCTAGACAGGCTAATGACAAGGTCTTTTAATGTGTGAGTTAATGCCTCCACTCCACCGATATATCTTTACGGCATAAAATTTTGTCAGTGTTAAATTTACTACTTGGTGGTCGAATCTTTATTCTTGGCAGTAAGTTTTAATTTGCATTTGTGTCTTGCTTTTTGTAGTGCTGACGTCAGTGGAGATGGCCTCCTCAGTTTGCAAGAATTGTCAGACTGGATCAATAAAAAGATTCAGGAACATATCAATGAAGCCCTGAGGGATAACTTTGGATTGTTTGATGCCATTGATAATAATCCCAAGAATGGTAGGTTAGCTCTGTGTGATCTGTATTTATCTGCGTGTATTGAAATTAATCTGTGTACATTTCTGGACTTATGAAATGTCAGTTTTAAGGAATGATTTAAAGAACCATAGGTTTTACTTCAGGTTTCAGCACAAAATTTTCTGTACACCACCAATTTATTAATCTGTGATAAATTGCCATTTTGCCGTATGTGAAAGTTGTTTATCGTCAGAATTCTGTAATTTGAAAACTATGAATTCTTGGTACCTTGATGTTTTGTTTAAAAATGCCGAGAAGTTACTTTCATATTATGTTACATAAGTTGTGTAAGCACATTTTCATGCCATATAATTTGTAAATAATACAAATTATCAGAAGTGTCTGAAGTTTATTGAATTTTTCTCTGTTTGTACAGTTAATTTTTTGGTGAAGTTTCAGAGTTGTGTGCTGTGCCATGCTGCATATTATAAGCTACATAAGTATGTTACTGGCCTGTGGAAGTGTAATGTTGTCCCATAATTGCATGTCAAACATAATATAATTCTTAAGATTATTTGTTGTCTGGACTTTTTCCATCGTCCTCTATCTAATGGGCCCGACCGAATAGGTAACCCTCGCCTGAAGACGGAAACAGAGCCAGTTTCTGAAATGTCGTGGTTTCTTCTTTATAAACAAGGATAATGGAAAAATTCTAGACAATGAATAATTTTAAGTGTAATCCACCATCGCCAGAACCCTCTAGAGTTGAATAATATAATTCTGTTCTGAAAAATGACCAGAAAAGCTGAATGCATATTTTGCGTAATTGGCTTAGTTTTGAGTTTATAGTCATTTATAAAAAAGTGTAAGTGTAATTAAAAATTTGACTCAATATTCCACTCTTTATGCACGTATTGGATTATGTGTCGGCCAGGAAAATTGTATTTATTTGTGTGTATTGTACAAATTTGAAATTGATTTTTGCCACTTTGAATGATTTTACGTGAGAGAAATGTCAAGAAGGAATTTTTTTTTGTGTGCCAAGTTCAGATGTTAGGGAATGACATTAATAAATCAGAATTGCATTCATGAGGAGATTAAGAGTATATATAATTTGGAGGGTGCTTGCTACGATGCAGTTCAGAATCTTTTGTCTCCCCATCTGCTATCCAAAAATGCAAATATGAAAATATACTAAATTATGGTTTTAGCGCTTGTTTTGTATCGGTGTGAAACATGGTCTGTCACATTGAAGGAAAAACAGTATTTTTTTATGTAACAGAGATGAAGTGACAAGAGACTGGAGGAAATTCCATAATAAGGAACTCCATAGTTTGTACACTTCACCATATATTTTTAGGGTGACCTTATGAAGGAGAATAAAGTGTGAAGGACATGTAGCATTCATGGGGCAGATGAGAAATGAGTACGAAGTGTTGGTCAGTACGCCTGAAAACTAGAAACCACTCAGAACATCAAGGCGTAGAAGGGAGAATAATATTAAAATGAATTTTAGGGAAATAGAGTTTGGGAGTGTGGATTGGATTAATCTGATTCGGAGTAAAGACTGGTAAAAGCCTATTGTGAACATGGTAATGAACCTTTGGGACCTCTGAAATGTCGGTATACTTCTACCAGACTACACGGCTCAAGAACCCAGAAGACGGCAACCTTCATACTGTCAGCTGTGAAAACCTCAAATCCTACAATTACCATTTTGACAGTAGCCTGCCACCAGTCCCATTCCTGAGTCAGATGAATCCAATCTGCACTTTCCAACCCTGTTCATGCAAAGATCTGTTGAAAAATTACCCTTCCATCTACGCTTATGTCTTCCAAGCTATCCCTTCCCTTCAGGTTTCCAACCAAACTTTTCTACACATTTCTTATCTACCCCCATGCATGCTGCGTGCTCTACCAAACAAATATAGCTCATTCTGTGTTAGTTTTTAAGTGTGTGTGACATGGTAAAATATTTCAAATAATCTTCAGAATTTACATATGTTTTTTATATGAATTGATTTGTAAGCGCAAAATAACAATATTGTATAATTTTGTGGAAAATTGGGAGGAATGAAAAGCACTGTTTTAAATTCAGTTCTGATTAATACATTTTAGGCCCATTTCCACAGTTTCTGCTGCTATTTGTGATTTAGAAATGGTTTTATAACCTTCATAAGTGTTTGGAAATTAATATTACTTTAAAAATTTTATATCGCTTGATAATGTAGTTAAGTAATTCTGTTTAACATAAAATGACTGCCTAGTTTGAAGAAAAATATGTTTATGAATTTTCCAAGTCCTCAATAAACCAAACATGATAGTTAGGAGATAGGAAGAAAATTTGAATGCTTTTGAGTGATTGTTAGAATGACGATTCATGTAACAATTTTCTGTATTTAGTGTAGATAGTGAAAGGATTGATTAGTCAGCCATTTTTTTATGTTTCTTTGTTGCTTGTGCTTTCGTGTTTGCGTCCTGTGCCTATGTAGATAGGATTAATGTAGAAATCCACGTTTTAGATGGGAGCACTCATTGGGCAAGATATTCATGATGACAAGGTGAGGAAACCTACAGTTTAATATAGGATTTGAATCATAATGAAGGCGTTGTCAATTATCCGAAACTCTTTACGTGGAAAACCAGTACTTCTCCCATATCAAATTATTATTCAGTTGGTAACTGATTATTGTTTTTAGGAGTGATATCGTGGGAAGAGTATCACACGTACTTTCTCCGGCAGAAAGGTTTTAGCAAAGAGTATGCAGAGAACCATGACAAGAAACACAGAGGGTTAAATAGATCTATCAAAGGTACGTGTAACTTCTCTTATATATCACTTGGATAGTCTGTGCACGTCTCTTTATGGACGTAAAGTGTGAGATGATCGTGGTCATATTGTCTGTCCATTTTGTGAATTGAATTGTGAGGGCTTCTACTTGTGTTTTCTTCTGTATTCATTGGTTGGCAGTAGATTTATAGCGAACTTTACTGCCCTGTGGTCACAAAACTGTGAGCACAGCATCCACTTACTCAAATCTAAACATTTAAAGTAAGATGGCTGTCTTCTGGGTTGTGAGGCCTCATTGCCCAAATGATGGAGGCAGGAAGGATGTCTGAAACATTGGTAAACATCTACTAGTCTATGTGGCTTTATAACTGAGAAGACAGGCATCTTTGAACTCATTGCCGTGAAAACCTCAAATTCTAACTATTTACAAGACACTTTTTTAAATTAAAAAGTGTTCACAGTATTCAGATGTGGCAGGGATGCTGCTTAAATTTTTTCAGACTGAAAAAATAAACGTCAGTTATTCTAAAATGTTCCTTATTAGATTTTAGGTTTTTGTGGCCCTGAATATGTATATTGTCACCCTCAATGGACTAGTAGCTAGCATGCTCGCCATTGAACACAAGATTCGCAGGTTCAAACCCTGCTGAGGTCAATGGATTTTTAAGGGTGATAAAAATCCATAGCACAACTTCCTTTGGAGCACCAAAAGACAAAGGAACCTCCCACATGGGAGGAGGCCAAGGCTCGACTTCGGGCTGTTGCGCCATAGAAAGAAAGAATACGTATATTGTGGTCTGGTGGACTGTGACACCATGTAGATTTAAAGTCTACCTTTAGGGTATGGCAAAGATTTTTTCACCAGTTTCATTTATTAAAACAGCATTTGCAATGGGAAGGTGAGGTTAGCAGGAGGATGATAATGGTTTTCCGTTAATTATGATTCTGATGTAGTAGCAAGAGTTTTGTTGTTAGCCTAAAAATGGAGGTGGTAAGTTCCTCTTAATTATTGGTAACCACTTACGAGACTCTGTAAGTGTACCCCTGTTTACATTTTCCATCGTCTCATCTTTGATATTTTTATTTTTGTTTTATGGAAACTGTGTCTACAGCTTGCTATTGCTCGCACTAAAAGTTAAAAGGCAAGCTAATTAATATAACAGTCGAAGATTTCCGTCTTCTGGGTTGTTGTGCTGTGTAGTCTGGTCGATGTTAACCAACGTTTCAGAGGTCATACTGCCTCTACCTCTGAAACGTTGGTAAACATCGATCAGACTACACAGCGCAACAACCCAGAAGACGGAAATCTTCATACTCTGATGACGGAGGCAGTCTGACCTCTGAAACGTTGGTTACATCGACCAGACTACACAGCGCAACAACCCAGAAGACAGAAATCTTCATACTCATCGCTGTGAGAACCTCAAGTCTTACAATATAACAGTCGTACGTCATTACAGTTACTTCATATCTGGTGTAACATTTATGGAACTTGTTCACCAGAGTTGCATTTCTCCATGAGGAAGTGAGGTTGGCAGCGGGATATGAGAGGTTTTACCGCCTCTTTTTGTTGTGATAGAGTAGCTGCAGGAGCATGACTTTTGTCGTCTCAAGTAGCGCAAGAAATATTTCCTCCTCAAAGTTTGGTAAAGTACACGACAGTACAGACATTGGACAACTCTAGTGGCAATAATATGAACTGTAGTTGATTTGTCCTATGTAGCAAGCTGTTTGATATTCACACGTTTTCATTGTTCTTCATTTTGTGCAGAGGCAGTCATGCGGGACCGAGCATCGTGGTCAGAAGCAGCCCACAGTGACCCCGATCATCTGACTCTGGATGAATTCCTTTCTTTCAGACATCCAGAGTCAAGTCATGCGACAATCATAGCTCTTGTTGATGAACTCTTGGATAAGTTTGGTAAGAAGTCAGATTTCTCATGACTGATACAGAGGTGGGACTGTATTTCTCGATTTTAAATCCACCTTTCGGTGGCGTTGGTGCTTGACTGGGAGATCCCACACAGCGAGTACACACGTTGGAACTCTCATGGGGAAGATACCACCTGAAGGACTGAGATGGGATGATGATATTTCAGATAAGCGAGTTGTGAACCTGACTGAACCACACAACATACGAGGCTCGTCCCCCAAGTAAGTTTCCCTGGGGCCGTTTACCGAAACAAAACACAATTTCATGGAAATATTTATTGCGACAGATACAGCAAGTGTCCAGCTATTTTTCAACATATTCGCCACCGGAATTGAGACATTTGTCATACCGTGGGACCAACTTTTAATACCTGTGTCGTAGAAGTCTGCCGCCTGGGATTGGAACCACTGTGTGACAGCCATCTCCGCCTCTCTGTCATTCTCAAAACGCTGACGCTGACGCTGACCGGACAGGAATTTCTTGAGGTGTAGGAAAAGATGGAAATCACTGGGAGCGAGGTCCGGGCTGTAGGGTGGATGATTAAACACCTCCCAGCTGAACTCCTGCAGGAGACTTGCTGTCCGTTGAGCCGTGTGCGGCCTAGCGTTATCACTGACCGCACTTCACAGTCGGCGGGAGCTGGAATAAGAATCTCCATCTTCAACAGCTGCAACGATGCTACTGTGAGAACGCGGGAAGTGCCGTTAGTGCATGCGCCATGCTACGTCATTGCTCTATCACGTACGCACAGTCGCTTCGCGCAATATAAGGTTTGCTAGCTGTGGGACGAGTGGGAAACTTACTTTGTGGACGCGCCTCGTAATACACCTCTCCGTACTCTTACAGAAAATGAATTAAACACGTTTACATGCTTGTAGGTTGCCGTCGTGTGTATGTAGTTTGCATCTCAGTCCTGTGGTATAAAATGTGGTACTTTCCATAACAAATTTTGGTTATATTTTTTACTGTAAAGTAAGTCTCTTATCATGACATGGCACATCTTTATAGTTGGAAGGCCTTTATATTTGGAGGACACATGCAAATTCATTGAATAAGTAGTTGCAAACAGCTAAAAGAAGGAGCGATCTTGTGGCTTATGGTTTGAGTTGGGAGTTAAATGTATTCTCACTATAAAAGACAACCACCATGTATGGTGGGTTCCTGTCATCATGGCATGGCACGTCTTCAGGTTGCTGATGAAGGAACAGCCTCCAGTTATGGAGGTTAGCTGCGAAAATATTGAATACGCAGTCACAGGGATGGTCCTCACCATAAAAAACTATTGTTATGAAAAACATAACCAAAAAGTCTTGGAACCAGACGGACGCTTTGTAGCCCAGGACGGACCAGTGGAGGGCTTTGGTTAATTCAGTGATGAACTTTTGGGCTAGTTATGAAAGACTACCATGTTACAAAATGTTGTCCAAGAGCATAGTACTTAAAGGGAAATTTGTTGTTAATAATAAACTTTTTAGAAATTTGTAAAATTAGAAGCCACTGATAATGAAGACCAACACATTCAAGTGATTATTCTGAAGTTTGTAAAAGTAAAACATTTCCACAACTCAGAAATTCAAAGAAATTATCTTTTGGTTACAAATGAATGGGTGCATTGTTTAGTAATAACTACTACGTTCTGAAACTTGTGAAATTGCCTATAATGATGGATTTCCAGTAACAGAATTAAAGAAGCAGTGGTGGATGATTATGAAATGAAACTTATTGATACAAATAGCAAAACATAATTTGTAGTGCAACAAAATATTTTGGTGTACAAGCTGGGTTTCTTTAATCATAGTTTTTATTAAAAAGAACTAATTAGTTGGCTTACCGAACCCGAAGGTTCATCACTGAATTAACCAAAGCCCTCCACCAGACCCTGTCCTGGGCCAACAAAATCCACTCTCCTTCAACTCCTATCTCTCATAGATCCCGCCTGACATTATCCTCCCAGCTACGTCTAGGTCTCCCCAGCAGTCTCTTCCCCTCAGGCTTCCCGACCAATACCCGGTGCACACCTCTTGTCCCATCCATGCGCGCTACATGCCCCACCCATCTCATTCTTCTTGACTTAATCACCCTCACAATACTGGGGGAGCAGTACAGATTTTTAAGCTCGTCATTGTGCAGTTTTCTCCACGCCCCATCGTCTTCCCTCCTAGGCTCAAATATCCTCCTCAACACCCGATTCTCAAACACCTGCAATCTGTGTTCCTCCATCAGAGCGAGAGACCATGTTTCGCACCCATACTAAACAACAATCAAAATTATTGTTTTGTATACTTTAATTTTCAGGTTCCTAGAAATCAGATGGGAAGACAAAATATTTTGAACTGAAAAGTAGCAAGCATTTCTAGACAATTTAGTCTCCTCCTAACTTCCTCATGAGTATCATTTTGATTTGTTATTTTTGTTCCCAAATATTTGAACTTTTTAACACTTTCAAAGGATTTATTAGCCACCCTAAGATAATTCTGCCCGCCTGTCTGCTGACGACGAGATACTAACATGTACTTCGTTTTTTCTGAATTTATTTCTAGGTTGTGGGTGAATTAACAGTCTTTCTTGACTAAAACTGCAGTCTAGATTTTACTAATGTTGTGAATGGCACGAACCTGCAATAGAATCTTTGGCATTACAGATCGAGATGGGGATGAGATTCTAACAGAAGACGAGTTTTCTGTTTTACAAACTGAAGGAGATGGAGAGAAGGAAGGCGAGACCCTCACTCAAGGGGAGGATGAGAGACGCAAGGAATTCCGAGATGTCATAGACAGAAACCATGATGGCAAAGCAGACAGAAAGGAGTTGCTGGTAAGGTCATGCAATAAGTCTGAAGAAATTTTGCCGACATATAGAAATATTTTTGTCGCTCGTTTTGTACTGTGGGCATGCCCGCTTAATTTTGCTCATGGATGTGTTCCAAGTTATCTGTACTGCATATATTTGAAGTTACACTGCACAGACATTAAAACATGCAGTCCTAGCTGAGAACTGAAAAGAGACAGTTGCATTCAACTTTATTCGTAAACACACTATTTTGAATTAGTGGTTGCTCGTCATATCAGACACAGCACAACCCAAACAAAAAATTCCAAGTATGCAGTGCTTGAGTGTTGAAATAAAGATTTGCAGTTATAATGAAATGTTTGAAAGATTTTGGAGGGGAAAAAATCAAAGCACTATTTTTGGTTCGCAATGTGCAAAATTGAGAGTACTGTTTAATTTAAAAGTACAGGTAAGGTTGTCGTAAGTACCACACAATGAAGATGTATAAGGGAGTGGAGGCGTAGCTCAACACATTTGTAGCCTTTGCACTAGATTGAATGTGAGTGGGCATATTTATGCCCTGGCAGTTTTACCCCAGGGATAGGACCCCTTGTACCAATTGGATTGGAGGTTTGGTGGGCCCGGAGTTTGTCATTTCCTATTAAAAGGAGCATTTTGTTAATGAAATCATCACAGATTACCATATGTGTTGGTTTGCTGAAAATTGACACTTCAGGGACCATCTCTGTCGCCATTATCGGGATGTGATGTAACAGATGAACCAAAACTTCCCACATAAATCCTATCCAGCATCTGTGTTAAAAGCTGAGGCTCAAGGTAGGGTATATGGGGAGTGATCTGGTTGAACAGTTACATCAAATCCTAATGGGGATGCGGCTGGTCCCTGAAACATCGATTTTTAACAAACGAACACACCTGATAGCCTGAGAAGATTTTATTAATGTTAGTCGCTGTGAAAGCTTCAAATCAAGCATTTTGTTATTGGAAATGATGTAGGTGTGGAACACCATTTTGTAAGAAATGAGTAACAAATTTATTTAAAGAAATGTGATATATCTGACTACTGAAATGTAAGGATAATGTACGAGGTGCGATTGAAAGGTTTCCAGACTGCACGTATAAAAACCCGTACACTTATCTCAGGTATTAAATTCA